TGATATAAATAAAATATATGTTTAGTATATACGCTGAATCAATGATATACAACTCGTATAACTTTTTCCTTAAAAGTAGAAACCCGGAAAGCCGTTTACAATATACGAAATGCTCCTCAAAAGCAGAAACCCGGTTAGCCGTTTACAATATACGATTAGGTTATCAAAACAATTCCCTATACTGCCTGTCTCTAAGGAAGAGACGTGGAACATTTAGCATAATATCATATTTCTCAAATCCTTATATAGAAAATATTCATAATATTCCAGTCACGTGTTGTTTAACACCGACAATAGCGACGTGGTCGTTATTAAGCGAAACCAACACACGCGTTTCCTTGACTTCATCATTTTCAGATATTTCGGCTATGTTATATGTATGAAAGCCACTAAAATTGATACCAATTTCTTTAATGTGAACGTTTGATGTTGTCATCTACTAGTTCATTGTAGAAACATCACAAGCTTACCATGGTCTACATAAAGAACAACACGACTAGTAAAGTGGGGCATATCCAAACGTACCTGGCCTACGTAAATAAAAATGAATGTGCGTTTTGCAAAATACTAGATAAGCTTTCAGTAAAACAATATGTACTTCCTAGGCTGCTGAAATCCTTAGTGGTTTCGGTTCTTTAAAAGCAATGTGACTAGATACTGCTCTAACAGACTGAGTTTTTATTCATCTATGTGAATAAAACAGAGGTAGACAACGGATGTAGTGTCAAGGTTAAATGATCAAAAGCTTCAAGTTAAAGTGTCGAAATACAATATCACAACATATGCAGTGTTTGATTTTACCCTGATGGTATTTAGCAATGTGTTCTTTGTAATCCTTTTTACTTATATAATTAAATGGCCTTTGTTTAATTAATTTAGGTTGCGTTTCTAACAGCCGTTGATGCCGGCGCGTTTGGAACCGCTAGTGTTTGCATCTCTCATTTCGTTGTCTCAACACCTCCAGGTGTTCCATTGAAAAGTCTACAGTCAGGTAAATTGTAATGAAGTCGAACTGGAAAATGTGCAAATCAGTATTAACGTTTTGATGTCGGTCCATTCACTAGAACATAATGAGAGGTTTTAATCATCATCTCCATTTATGTTCTAAAACGCCACAAAATAAATTTTGGTTCATTAAGACCACGTTGCATATTTTAGACATGAAAACTATCCCTAAATAATGCTTCCTGGGTGCACATTTATGTTATGTGCAAGAAACGACACCGTTTACGCGTCTCCTAATTAAATAGAAGACAGTATGTGGTATCCGGTAAATAGTTAAGGTGATATCTGTCATCCACAATGGTAATAGTTTGAACGCCACAATACCAAAAGAACTACCTGTATGCCCAAATGCTTCGAATATTTCCTTAATTGTTATTGTAACTGTATATCTGGCTTCCGTAATAACCGTATGAAGAGCTTACTGAGGGGCATTGCCATTGTCATCTCTTAAAACTACAACTTGTATAACTACATCAGCGTTGTTCGCAAACTTTCGTTGTCGACTAAATATGCACTTTTAAAAATTCGCATTATCAGACGCATCATTTATATGCACCATACTTGGACCAGCTGAACTCGCATACTCAGCGCTTTAAGCAACGAGTTAGAGACACTCCAATGCCAAGAACTAACTTGATTTCCATTTAGTCTATGAAATAATGTGTTCTTTTGAACAACTCCATGATTCCGTTGTTAGCAAATCCTTCCATGGTATAGGCGGGACAATTCTCAGTGGCATTATTTTCCTTTTAAGTATTCCTTCGACTAATGATAAGGTCTTACATAGAAGAAAAAAAAAACAAGACGTGCCTTGCAGGTATAATTCTGTTTTATGTTGGTCTTTAACATTTTTAGCGCAATGCTATTGGCACGAACGGTTCCTACTAGTGTTTCCAATAAATCATCAAGGTCTTTAGGTGACACACACTAAAAGGTCTTTTCGTTATTTGGGCACAGGTAGTGTGTTCCGTGTAATCTTTGCAGATTACTCATCAAATATATGTTATTTATTATCTCATTACATTTTCACTTTGTAACAGTTTCTGGTTTCCTAAAGGAATTAAATGTTTTCTCATAATGATTTTACCGACCACCGCACTATATGACTGTAAGATGTGTTCCTTGGGTCAATTAAGAACATAGTTTAATGGTTTCACGAAAATCACTAGGCGAATTGGTTGTTAAAAGTATTTGGTTGGTGTTGTCTGCTTCTTTTACTCGGGTGGCAGGTTTGGCGTTCTGTAAGTTGCCTACCTAAGGTTAACATCAGTTTCTTGGATGACGTTTACAATTGTACCAAGGCTATCTCCTATTTTTCTATTTGACTTCTTTCACTTCTGCATTGTTGTTAGCAAACATTAAATAGCCTTAGCAGTTTTTTGTGTTGCATTCGTAAGATCTTTCGTTCGTTTAGTTATTTTACGAAATGGACCTGGTTCTTCTAATATTCCTGTTTTGGAAACAGACCAAATATAAATCAAAGGCAAGGAATATACTAAAAGACAACCAATGGAATAAACAGGCACAAGACAAATGCAGCAAACAATTATACCAAAAGAAAATACCATCTTTCATTACGAAATGATTCTGAATTTATTCAGCTGTATACTGATCCTTTGAATGACCTTAATAGTGATAAACCAAAAAACTATCAACACAGTTGTAAGATGGAAATCTCAATTTGTCGGTTACTTTTTTAAAATGTACACACCACATGAACATCATGTATATTATTCAAATTTTATTGAACGCTGTATTTAACACCGCACTAAATATGCATATTATTTAAGTCCAAAAAGAAATAAACGTTTCGAAACCAAACAGAGAATAAAAAGTAATGGAAGGCAAATGTTTGCCACCAAAGGTTGTCCAACGGCGAAATCTATGTTAATAAACATAGAATAAAACAATTTCAGCAAGACCAATGAAATCTGTTAACTGCTGAAACTACAAGTGTCAAAAAATAACATGATCGATGAAAGGAAATTTTTCAGACTTACATGAATTTAAGAAGCAGCAAAGTTTTGCTTGTCGACATATGGAACAGACATATTACTTGATCGAGTTTCAAATGCGTGAAGAACAAATGTGTCTGGCATTTTGCACAATTGTTGGCGAGGACAAAGTTCGTGTGTGCGAAAAGGTTTTTCCTACGGATATTAGATATTGACAAAAAGAAAACGGTTCCAAATGTAATCTGTTGAGTAAAGTTCATTGAATTTCTCTGGTGTCGATGTTAATGGTTTACACATTACACCAAGCAAAACACGATAAACTAATATTTAGTTTGTTCATGACCACGTTAATAGTTTTGCTACTGTTGAACAGCATTACACAAGAAAAGAGGAAAACAGAAAATACCTTTCAAATGATTTAAATACGAAGCGAATGCATTCGCATTACAAAGAAATGTAAAAAGAAACTTCTATCTGTTCAAGAGATTCCAGTCTCCAAACTGCAGTCGTTAGAAACGAAAGGAAAATTGGAAGAACCAACAGGAAAGGAATGTAGAGGCCACCGAATAAAAAAATGCCAGTTAGAAAAGAGAATTTATTTTTATTATAATTTTATTATTCATTACTGTTATTATTGCTTTTATTATTATTATTATTATTATTATTATTATTATTATTATTATTATTATTATTATTATTATTATTATTATTATTATTTTCAGATAATGTGGCTGTGGTTGTTATAATCCTAGGCTTGAGTACTTAATATTCATTACCATTATTTTTATTTGGTGAATATTCGCAACTGTTACCTGCTGATTGCAATATAAAACATGAATCTCAGATACTATTGTGTTCACTCATCCATCAATAGTTAAAGTTGAAAAGGCATATATGACCTACATTTTACTCGACACAAAAGGTCAGACCAGTAATACAACCAGTTTGGGACATTAGCTTCTAAAGATTGGGTGGGTGACTATCATCATGGGATCAAACACCAATGGGGTGTACACAATTCATTCTACTCGTCATTTATTGTTCATCTTTATTGGTAAAATAATTGTAAGATAGAATACTATTATCCCGGACAAATATCAGTATAATTAAGAGTTTCGTTAATCATGATAGTTTATCTAGCATAATAGGTTCTTTATGGATTCGCATAATATTTAGTGTGCGAGCACGATTCACTAATTGCACTGAATTTAACTGCGGTTTTTGTAGGCAAAATCCCACCTGTAAATAGATACAAACATGTTAATCACTATAAGCTCATCTGATTAGCAACAATAGTCAATTTAATAGTGAAACAATATTGCTTTTGAAAATACCTGCTGTTAATGTCCAAGTGTGATCTTGCGTAGAACATTTATTTCGTTATCAAACTCCAACTCCCCTGTTGTGTATAATTGAACATACCATTTTCTTGTTGTTGTTAGTTTAAGGTTTAAGCTATTCATACAATTATATGAATATTGCACTTGTAGGTTCATCGTTAGTACTTGCTAAATTTATAAACAATTACTATAATGTCAAGGCAATGTCGTTGTTAGGGTGTCAGATACAGGGTAATTGTACACGTAAACTTCAACTCCCTTGTTGTGTATAATAGAACATACCATTCAATTGTTAGTTACAGGTTTATGCTCTTCGGACTATAATATCAATCTTGAACTTGTAGGCTTCACTGTTAATACTTGCTATTTTTTTCACTCTAATGTCAAGGCAATGTCGTTATGGTGTCAAAATACAGGATAATCGTACACGTCATACTTTAGTTACAGATGTAAATTACAACTTGTTGGACATTTAACACAGACATAGAAAATTCGTTTACTATAAGTTACTGAGCATTCAGATTATGGATTTATTAGGGAAGTAGCTGCAATTTATCTTGGAGCCGGCATATTTTCTTTCTTTCAACTCAAGAGAACACAATCAATAAATTATTATAATTATTATTAGTAGCAGTATTAGTGATATTCTGATAATATGATGTATATTACAGCCTGGTCTTTCAAAAAATCGGTTGACCGCTGCAGTGAACTAGTGGTTAGAGCGTCTGCCTCAGATGCGGGAGGTCGCTGGTTCGAACCCCGGCCAAATCATAACAAAGATTTAAAATATGGAAATAGCAGCTACTCTGCTTGGCTCTCAGTACTAAGATGTTATTGTTAGGACCGATCGGCCAGGCATAAAGATAATGTGACTTTGTTGGACATCATTTCACATGTCTGTGGGATGATCTCCGACTACTAGACGTCACTAAAAACTGTTGGTCTGCAGACTTCGTACACACGCGCGCGCGCACACATACACATACATATATACACATATACATATATATATATATATATATATATATATATATATATATATATATATATATATATATATATATATAGACATACATACATACATACATACATACATACATACATACATACATACATACATACATACATACATACATACATACATACATACATATATATGTGTGTGTGTAAATATATATGTGTATATATATATATATATATATATATATATATATATATATATATATATATATATATATATATATATATATATATATATATATATATATATATATATTGGTGTTGGTGTTGTTTAACATGACAAGTACAATTTTTAACTTTAATAAGCAAAATAGCCATCATAATAATTATTACACTAATAGGTTATTCTCTCTTGTTCTACTAATGCTTTTTTACAGCACTAATTAGTGTCATTCATTAATTAGCGAAATAATCTCTCAAAATGGTATATTAGCCATAGTCATATTAATTGATGTTTGGATTGTTTGCTTTAAGATATATAATTATTATGACATTGGATGTTTTAGTTGTAGTTACCTAGATCTGTCCTGTTTTAATCTACAAGGGTTGCTTGTACATGTTGTAGGCATGGTAGCGTCATTCCTATTAACATAATATATTTTTTATGTTTATCAGCTGCTGACATGATGCGAAATAATATATAATGTTATTGCTTTTCCGCAACTGTCTATACCTGCAGCAGAATTTGCAGTCAACACGTCGTTCTAGACAACCTGTCCAGCCAAACCAAAGCTTGTGATTATGTTCCTGATGAGAATTACCTAACTAAATGAGCTCAGTTTCCAACCAGTTCTATGGAAGTATTACAACGTAAACGAAAGGCTGGTACCCATAGCAAATTTGTATTAACAATTACAATATATGCACATGAGTATTTCAGCAAAAAAGCAATTTCCAATAATACGACTAATTCAAGAATTTGGCTTGATAAATTCAAGAAAGTCATAAAGATTCTATTGAGTAATTTGTTAAAACATCAACAGTATGATTGGTAGGGGTGTTGGTTGATGCAGGTTCTCTGCGGTATTCGTTTCCATAAGTACAAATGTCGGTATTACTTTACTATACAGGTATTGTGGCAGTTTATGTGAGCAACGAATGTACAGAAATCTGCCAATTATAGTGTAATAATTACATATTAGCATCACGTTTTCAATTTTCATCGCTAAGTAACAAATACGATTTTTGTTCAAAGCAGCGGAACATAGAACGAAATAATTTTTTGATTAATACAAATATATTTGCACTTCTGTAATTAAATAATTAAAATTTTACCAGTATGCTAACGTGATAAACAAATGCGATTTTTGAGGCATATTTCGGACGAATTCAATGTGGACAAATCTCGCAATATCGATATATATATATATATATATATATATATATATATATATATATATATATATATATATATATATATATATATTTATATATATATATATATATATATATATATATATATATATATATATATATATATATATATATATAATTATAGTTTAGTAATTGGCATGCTTATGTTGATGTGTACACTGTATTTAATTTTTGTTAAGACTACGAATAATCCAAAGATTGTTAGAAGTATGCTTAAAATTGTAATTTCTCAGTCCACTAAATGCTTTCTTGTTTGCTGAGTAAATGTGTTCAATCTCCCCTGGCCCAACCTTTTGAATATCTTGACCGTGTATTGGCTTATCAATCTTAGCTTTTGTGCTTGTTATATTAATATTGACCATATATGCTTCATTGTAATCATTTGCAAATTTTATAAACAATCTCTCTAATGTCAGCATAATGTCGTTCACAGGGTGTCAAATACAGAGTAATAAATTAAAATGGTTTCAACGATTGACACAGATATAGCAAATTCATCTCCTATAAGCTATTCAATATTCAGCATTCGGGGGAGCGGCGAATTTGCTTTGAGGTAATTTGTTTTATGATCCCAAGAAAACAAATTTATTTTCTTTATTATTATTATCATTATTATTATTATTTTTATTATTATTATTATTATTATTATTATTATTAGTAGTAGTAGTAGTAGTAGTAGTAGAAGTATTTATGGTAGTAATAGTAATAGTGGTAGTTGTAGTAGTAGTAGTAGTAGTAGTAGTAGTAGTAGTAGTAGTAGTAGCAAGATAATATAAAATATGTAATAGTGAGATTAAGATATTTTTTTTTGCTTTTGACACAACGAAACTTTAGAACTGAGATCCAGGCTCTACCAGTGGAAAAAAAAACTATTACATTAGTGATCTTTTCTCTCTCTTCTACTAAGATTTATTTTCAGTAATAAGATTACGCATTCTCAAGCTTGACAGTCTCTTAAAATAGTACCTCAACCAATAGTGATATTAATAAATATTTCTTTATTTGCTGTACGACCTATATTAATTTTTTTCACAGGTGTTTGTAGTTACTTAAAATTGTCCAAATGTAAACATCAAGGATTGTCAGTAATGGCTTTGGGCATGTATACATAATTCTTATTAACATTAATCTATATTTTCCTTTGCCGTTTACACATTTCGCAATTGCTGGCATATAGAATTTAACAAATTAGTAACGATTTAATATTGAATTTATGAAACGAGTTAAATAATGTCTAGCTTTTGCAAGACTTTAAAATTAAATCATTACCAATTTGAGATACTTTTTATAACATAGTTTTATTTTAGTAGAAATTATTTAGGTAGAACGAAGAAAGTATAATTTATTTATTCTGACAGACTTTGTACCTTTCGAATTTGTGTACATAAAACAGTCCAAAAAGTTAAAATAGTAAACGTATATGATACATTTATGCTAACTATAAATAAAAAATAAGCGTCTATTCAAAGAAACGAAACATTTAACAAAAGATATAACATTTGTCAATACACAATTTCCAATGGGTGTGATTTCATATTGTTTTATGCGGTTCATAGTACCGATTTGAGTTGGCCTACGTCACGTCACAATAAAACACAAAACATAACGTTGTGGAGATATGTTGTAAAAATTAGATTACTGGATGCAGAAATGCAAATATTTCCAGTAATGTATTTGTGACATGATAATTGCAGCATTTTATTTGGAATATTAGATTGCAAGGAAGATGAAAACAAATCTACCTTTTAGTCGCACTGGCATCACATATTTACCACATTAATTCTTTGTGTTTGAATAAAGTTCTGTCAGTTCGGGAGACTAGTGTATGTCAAATTCTTTTGTACACAAAGGTGAGTTTATTTACTTCAGTAAGTTCAAATTTAAATTAAACTTGTATATATGATGGATTCCTTGCTACAGATATACCACCCATCCGTTCCCACTCCCACCCTCGTTATCATTTACGCAATGCCGGTAGTTTTACTTGTTATTGTTCTTGGCTTGTGAGTTTTGCCATTTTTCATGTTTTGATACGTTATACATATAACAAACTCCTGTGGGGGTAAATTAGCAATATTGAAAGAGACGATACCATATGTTCCCAATTTCCTTTCGGGAGTCCATTAGCAAAATAGCTGCAAAAGCTGTTCAATGAAAACAAAATATTTCAGAAAGCGGGATTTAAAGATTTCTCTCACGATCGCACCCAATCATTAGGACAATACTGTATAATAATTTTATGGGAATATTTGAACCAACCAGATACACATAAAGTCATATATTCACATGCATAATATCAAAATTATTAAACTGCACACAGCACATGCAAAGTGTACCAACTTAGAGATAATATAAGATATTGTGTTTTAATTTTATTGTTTTTATGCAGCCATCTTTACTTATAGTCGAACTCCAACACAGCATATCAGGCCAATGCTAGAACACGTTCTTTGCCTTTAATATAATGGGGTCGGACGTCAATTTGGATTGAATTTAGGGTATAAAATAATCTCATCAATTACTGTTCACATGAATGTATAAAGATATACTCAGTTATACTGCGTCTCTTCCCGGTCAAATGATTATTGGGTTCATCATAACAATTGTTCCTGCGTAACTGTATAATTTTTTTTCGTTTGCTGTGTAAATGTGTTTTATGGTTAATGACCTTCACTGATAAATATCTTGCCCACGATTTGAAATCCCACTCAATATTTCCTTTCCATTCATATCATTATTTAAAACGTAGGCTTTAGTGTCAACGCCTACTATCTTTATCAACAAACTCTGTAATTGCAAAACAGATTATTTCACGGGTGTCAACTAGAGTGTAACCTTTCTTATTCCATATTTGTTACAACATATATTACAACTTTTTCAGCTATTAACACAGACATGCCGCATTGATTTACTAAAGGATACTAAAGGTTTTCTAAGCGTTTTTAATTGGAACATATGTGTTAATATTATTGTTAGTAATAGTAGTAGTAGTAGTAGTAGTAGTAGTAGTAGTAGTATAGTAGTAGTAGTGGTAGTAGTAGTAGTAGTAGTAGTAGTAGTAGTAGTAGAATTATTATTATTTTCAGATGATATAACGGATATTACATAACTTGAATTTTGGTGACAATCAGAGATAAATACCTTTTTAGTTTTGGACGGACATTACACTTTTAAAAAAGATTGAAGGTATCTTCGCCAGAGGCTGAAATAGCTGGTAGTTTCTTTATAACTACGGCAATGTTTCAAATGTAGTGTAGTGTGCATAAAAATAATTAACCATTGTACATTTTGTGGGGTTAAAATTTCATTAATACATTCAAACTACATTTGCCTTACTCTCAATCACTCCTCTCCAGACAAGCTTGATATTGCACATACTGTCT